TGCATGATTAACATTTGCGAAATGGCAGACAAGAAGATTGAGCCGTGCTGCGAGCACACACCGATAGCCACGTGACGGAGGAGGAGGAGGAAGGCTGCCCCAAAACTTTGTCCAGGAGGCCCCTGCCCGAGACGAGCTGTCGCACCCATTTATTCATTACCCCCGTCGTGCCCTGCCCAGACGGGTTGACCCTTCGCCTCTTGTCAGTCGCGATCGCGGATGCATCGCTCCGACATCTGAATCGAGATGCCAGCTCCCCCCCGCCTCATCCTCGCCGTGCAACCGTGGCGCTCAGAATGCCCCGCACGCACGGAATGCAATCCCTGCACCCCCCCTCACCCTCCCTCCTCCCCATGCATTCCCTTTCAGGCCCAAAGTCCTTTCGCTGCAGATGCTACAGAGAAGGCTTTAATCAGAGCCACTTAAAATAAAATTGTAGTCCTGTATTGCCGGTTTAATACATCGCAGCATCGCGAGAGGTTGGGGCGGATTTGGGGGGGAGCTCTTCATCATCCCGCAGTGGATTGACCGAGGCCGATGCTGAATTTACAGATTGCCATTGCACGAATATTTTTAATATACAGCCCTTGGTCAATCCACTGGCGGATGAAGGCAACCCCATGCCGTGTAATTTTGTGAGGGGTTCTTTGACTATACTTCACAATCCTGGTTACGTTGGTGAAGGGCTGAGGGTCGGTTCAGATACGTCTCGCCACTGATGTTAGCCATGGCCAGGAATCGAACTCAGAGAACGGGTTCATTGCGCAGTGCGCTAACCACGGCGTCACCACTCTATCCCCCCCCCACACCGACAGTAATTAGATCCCATTGTGATAAACGTACAGTACTATTATCTTTCCGATTGACACTGCAACAAAATCAATATTAAAATTTATTATAATATGTTTAATCAGCATGGGGCTTCCGTGAGGCCCACTTAATGTCCGTATACTTTTTATTCGTAATTTATTTTGCAAGGAGCAAGTCTAGAAAAGCAGGCTGGCTGGGGATGTGTCACAACATTGTCTGCAGTGCTTGGCTATATTTAAAATTACCCGAATGTAAATATGTTTCTATTTATTTTCAAGGTTTCAATACATACTTTTAAACGTGGACTTCCACGACCAGTATTGTGGTTCATAATGAGTTTATTCTGTGTTACATCGTGTCATGTGAATGATTAACGAAAGCCCTCCACCACCCGACAGAGCCAATCGACTCGAGTTGTCACTTCATAGACAATGAAGCCAATTGATATTTTAATAATTGTATACCCGACGTTTCGCTGGAGATTACATCCAGCATCATCAGGCGTTAGCAAGGCTCAGCTCTGGCTAGATGTAAATCTTCGGTGAAACGTCGAATAAAAACTCTCAAAACACGGATTGCTTTTCAACATTTCGGATTTTCTGAAAGCAAAAAAAACACACATCACTTGGCATATTTGCCCATGGACGTGCCAACTTCATCTGATTGGCTCCTCTGTCGGGTGGCGGAGGGCTACAGTCAAACAATGGCATTTTACCCTGCACTAGAATCGAACTCAACTAGGAACTCGTTATTAATCACAACGCACGCCGGGGAAGGTTTTCCCGGTTGCGCTGAGCGGCTCTCGGCCTCGCGTCGTTCCCCACGACGTCCGACGTTTCACCTCTCCCCACCACCACAGTCGTGAAGCTTTTCCAGCAATCGAGGCTTTTTCATGAACTCTGAAGCTCCCGGCACGTGCAGCGAAACGTCGGACATCGCGCCAAACAACACACACCGAGAGCTGCAAAACGCGCAAGCTAATTGAAAATAAATGTACCAGATCGGTCGATTGGAAGAATTCAACATCGGCACTTATGAGCTGCACTTGCAACAATCGATAGGAATCAATGGCTGCATTACCTTTCTTGAAAAGTACGCTCTTGCTAAAGGCCGGTCGACACCAAAGCACATCCATTTTTTTTGTTTGGGTTACCGATGGCGAAAGAGCAGTTGTGAGAAAATTCAAGCGACTGCTCCTCCACGGCTCGATGCCGCCCCCCCCCCCACCAAACCTTGCTGCTAATTACGCCGCATCGGGACGCGGAAACATCGCTCGTCACTCCCCCCCCCCCCCCCCCAAAAAAAAATAACAGAGGCCCCCTGCCGAGGTTGCAGCGCGCTCTCTCTCGCTGCGTCTCCACGGCTCCGTAACAACGTGCCCGGTTGGCCCCCCGTTCATGGTTCGGGCAAGATGGACCGGGCCCTCGTATTTCCCCCCCACGGGCCGTCGCACCGACGAAGGCGAGCGGAGCCGTAGCCGCGCGCCCGGTGCGGGCTGCGCCGACGAGCTACGGCGCGGTTGCGGTGCGCCGCGGTTGACCTCGCTGGTGATGCTGCGGGGTCAAACGCGCTAGAGAAACGAGTGGTTAGCGGCGCTGAATTAGAAGGAGGGGGGGGGGCGGGGAAATAGATTGTTCATAATTTATTTGAGCTTAGGGAAGTGTAAGCTAACCATGGCATGCATTAAAACCCTGTTAATTTGTTGCTACGTACTCCAATCGCGATGCCGCAAAGAGGGGGAGGGTGGGAAGAGAATTGGTTAAAACGAGCAAATACCGCGCTGGTTTTAGCCTTCTCTGTTTCATCAGCAGTCAGACTGAGCTAATCGAACACTGCTCCGGCAGGCGGAGTAGGGGGGGGGGCGGTAGCTGAGCCAATGGAGCCAGATGTTTTGAAGAAATTGAGCAATTCCGGGTTATCACAGGGACATCGCGGCACGTCCTGGGTCTGGATTCCGATGCGGGACATGGGAGCATCCGTACACAACCCCCGTACGCGAACCGCTGCCTAAATAGATCGGCACACTCGTGTTTTCAGAGCAAAACCTCACCTGCCGAGGTTAAATCTGCAGAGCAATCTCATCGCACCTCGCGACGCCATTAAAACACACACCGCCACCGCAAATTGACGGATTGGTATTTTAAGACGTTGCGCTCACGGCGCCTGGCGGACAAACAAGGGCGGCGGAGATTTACGTGCTCAGCCGTAAACGCGAGGACGTACGGAGTGAGGCCCTATCGCCATCTCCCGTCGCCCCCCCAGGGCCGGATTAAGGCACGGGACTGCAGCCCAGGGGCCTCCGCCAGCTGGAGGGCCTCCAGAGATTAAGTCAAAAGTTATTTCATTTGTGAATGCTGAATTGTATTTGTTGCTAGCCTTGTAAAAAAAATTTTTTATTTAACTTTTTTTCTTTTGAAAATATTACTGGGGGCCTCACAGTACCTTGTAGCCCAGAGGCCTACAAAATCTTAATCCGGCCCCCCCCCCACCGCTGCCGCCTCCACCGGGGGTCTGCTCCACTCTCGCTCCACCGCAGTGGCACGGGAGGGCATCTTATAACCACTGCGGAAGCTCATGGCCCCGGGACTCGGTGTGGGGCTCTAATGGGCACCTTGCAGGGGATGCTCCGTCCGTTTGTGGGGTTCTCTCTCTCTTTAATTTACAGCCCCTTTGGCCAATCGACTGCTAGGTGAAGGCCTCGCATATATTTTGTGTTGGTCGCGGGGAATGTTTGAAACTGTCCGCGCTAGTCAGAGCGCTGGTAAGTGAAAAGAGGGTGGCAGGGTCCGGTTTAGATATTGCTCGCCACTGACGTTAGCCGCGACGGACGGGGTATTCAAACTCGGATCGCTCGGTTTATGGCGGTGAGTGATAACCACTGCGCCACCTTTCCACCCTCAGTTTTGTTGATATAGTCTTAAATGCATCCACTGCCTTTACATATTGTCAAATTATGACATGTAAAAACATTATTATTGAACAGCAAAGCAGAAATCATAAGATGCACATCATTCTGGGCTTCCTTGTTCCATGTTTTTTTTCTCTTTCAAATACACTGTAGTGTATATATACACACGAGGACAACAATTGTCTCGTGACGATATCAGAATACTGATTAAAACTGGAGGAATCCGATGAGCCATAAAGCTCTTTTGCCACAGATGTTCTGCAGTCTCTGGCTCGAGTGGATTTTTTTGGATCCCGTTGCGTTTCCGTCTTCAGCTGGAGGAGGAAGTGCTTCAATCCACCTTTATTGGCTTGCGCTACAACAACAAAAAAACCTCGTGGCTGAAAAAATATGACTCATCTCGCACTTAATTTGGCGGCGGAGACGGCAGACAGTGGCTCGCGGTCGTGAATCGCGTCTCTGAGTGATTAAATGAAATCCGTGGATGGCTGACGGCTTCCAAGCGACATTCCTTTCTGACGGAATATTAATCTTAATAAAATATAATAAATATATAAAGCAACCCTCCATGCCGTATCTGCACGTAAAAGTAAAATGTTGGCCTTCCGGACTGAAGCTGAGCAAGCAGCGTTTGTTGGAACGCAAAAATGAGGGCCTGTGATGACCTGGGTTTCATCAGCTGATGCAGGCCCTATTAAACGTATCGTGCTTTGTCAGATGTTGTTGGTTCGTGCTGCCTCTCGTCACCAAGGGCTACTCAGCACAAACAGCGCTGTATAAAACCTCACCGAAAACTGTAGTGGGGCATTCTGTATCTCCACGTAAAAAAATAAGACGTATTCAGTCAATCGGCTTACTGGCCTTCTAGATGAATCCAACAGCATTTGTTTAAACATGTAAACTCTAGATTAGGCTTTGATCTTCCAGATCTCATCAGCCGATTTAGGCTTGCTTTATAAACATTGCTTGTTTTTTAAATGTCATTGGTGAGACCACTCCCGTGAAAACAACACGGCCCTGTCCAAGCAAAAACAAAAGCCAGCTCGATATGTCGCCAACGTTGCCAAAGCCGTTTTGATGCCACCGTGGCACCTCCTCGCTGACGCTCTCTGCCCTCTGCCAGACCTCGCAGCTGCTGCTGCAGAGGCAACACGCAGCGACACCCACGATCTGCCCTCACGGTGTCCCAACATCTGGCCCGAGGTCTTCCCCACGGTCACCAACAACGCTGTGCCAAACAATATTAAACCATCGCTGAATTCGCTCTCGCTCGCTCGCTCACCCCAAGCTGCCCGTCTCGCAGGGGGGAGCGAGCCGTGGCCAGGACGGCGCTTTGATGCGATGAACCTTGGAACCCGGAGGTCAGCAAGCGGCCTCCGTCACGCCGGCGTGATATAGTGCCACGTGGCGCAGAGGAATCAATCCACCATTCGCTCCGCTCATAAGGCACCCGCCGTTTCACGCGGGGCCCTCTCGACAATCCATCGTGTGCCTGTGGTGGCAGCGGCGGTGGAGAAAATGAATAAGTCAGCAGCGCCGGACTCGATCGCTCTACCCGCGGGGAAACGCTGAGCTCATGCAACGCCTCATGATGATGATGGCGACGATGATGTTGAATGGAGGAACAGCAGCAACGTTTTGCAGGATGATGTGAAGATCTGCTTCGTGTTTTTTTCGGGTTGCGCCCTGTTTTGTCAGACAATTATATCCAGTTCCTGAATAAGCTCGCAGCGCGTGAAGCGAAACGTTGGACCTCGCGTCGAAAAACGCGTGGCACAGCCCGGGGAGCTACACCGCACGGCCACGAAAACCTACGCAGTCCGGAGCAAGAGGTGAGCGTCTTTATCTCGTCAAGACCATAGGTGGGATGCGGAGTGCATTTTAGAGACGTGCGCACCGGATTCGAACCGTGAACATCTGCAACAAGCGGCGAACGCGCCACGTCGCTGCCCAAGCATAAAAAGGTGCGGCAGAGCAATGGGAAGAGGCGGAGGCTGCCGCTCCACAACGCAGTGGTGCAACGGTGTAAGCGATTTGCTTGCTGTGCACGGTGCAGGCACGTGCACACAATGGCACACGTGACGTTGTGTGCACGTGCCATTGAGGGGAAGATGCACTCGTTATTATAACGGAAAAACGAGGATGATAGCGATGCTATGAACACCCCTTTGCTGTCGTAGAATAGAAATGATATTCACATTGTGAAGTGCGCGAGATGGAAAGACTGATAATATAATGATACAATTAATATACATTCAGCGTCGGCGGATGGAAATGATATTACATCTGTTGTAGGGTGTGGGCTGGGGGGGTGTGCGGGATTATGAAGGGGGTGATTACGCAACATGTCTAGTGGGATCACTCGGTGGAGCCAGGGCGAGGGCTTGCGCCGCGCGGTGCCCGCCCGTGTCTCGGGGAATGATTCAGAGCGGCAAACATTAAAATTTCGACTTAAAGCTTTCGTGACTGCAGGAATTCATATTCTTGGGTCTTTCGGTAAAGTCACGTAGATAGGTTCAAAGAAAAATAAATTCTTTTTTTGTTTGTTATTTTTGTTCTTTTCTTTGAACCTATCTACGTGACTTTACCGAAAGACCCAAGGATATGAATGGGTTTTTTGCTGAATTTTTTTATTCAATTAAATTTTGTTTTCATTTGTATTTTCATTCTCCGTGACTTTACCGAAAGAACCGAAGAATACAGCGAACATTTCGTGCGTGTCTCCAGCTACAGCGAGGGCCAAGGCGCAGCCGCCGCACTGCCTCGCTCGCAAAAGTTCTGGCAGAGCGGCCTTTACACCACGGAGCTCTGGTGGAGGGTGGCACGTTGACCGGCATCTTCCCTGCCGGCTCGACGTGTTGAAATGTGTGGGAAGTGCCCCACGCTTTACCCCCCCCCCGCGCCACCGCGCACGGCCTGCCGATCGACGAACTGTGGAGAGGGGTAGGCGGTTAAAAAAAAAAGTTTCCGTCGAACCGATGACCTCTGCGTTGCAAGTCCGGTGTAAGAACCGATACACCACGGCCGCGTCCCTAGCTTGGGAACCAGGGATTGATATTAGCCGAGTTTGTCTAGGTCATGACCTGAAAAAGATTTCCACACCCGGCATACCACCTCCGATGTCCCTCTCGCCTTGGCTATGGCTACTCGTCACATTGCCACCGTCCTGGAAAATACTGAGAAATGAAATGCCGTCCGATGAACGATGTACGGTTATGGGAAAATATTCGGGGCTATGCGATTTCATCGTGGCAGACTACTCGGAGAGATGAGCTGGCCAGAGACATGTTTCACATGAGCAGCAGTGGAGGAGGGGGGGGGTGTTGGGAGGAGATACAAATGTGGGCGTGGTGGGCGGTGTGTGGATTGGGGATGCACGGATCGGTGCCAGCGTGGAGAACACGTGAATGATAGATAACCTGGTTGCGTTGTCGCTTTCATATACATGCGCATAAAGAAATACAAAGACCCCACATATAACCTTAACAGACTGTTGGGGTGAGTGCTGTTAGCACCTATGAAGACCTGAACGGTACACGAGGGGGTGGGTGGCCAGCACCAAGCCCGAAGGCCTTTGTCTCCCTAGTGGCGATGTTTACTACACACCGCACCAGGTACTCATTGAGGCTGAGTCGACCTCGGGGAGGCCCAGAACCGGCTCAAATAATTGTCACTGGTGTTGGCCGTGAGCAGGAATCAAACTCATAGCGCTGCGCGCTCACCGCTACGCTACCGCTCCCCACATAAACCAAGACATAAACACGAACACATACACAAACCCACCACACATGCGCGCAGATACAAAAACGCATGACATTATACGCACTGCAGATGCGACTAAATATAGAAGTACTGTGTCCCCCCCCTGCGGGAGAGACTGAACAAGCTAGCGAAGCCAGTCCATTGAGGGAGCCTCAATCGTAACAGAGGTTGGGGGAGGGGGGGTGGATTTGACTGCACGAGGCGGTAGCAGCGTTGTGCGCGGTGCGAACGCTCTCGGTGGCCAGCCTCGTCCAAACGCTACCCGCATACGGCCCAGTGGTATCGGTGAGCTGTGCAGTTGAGTTTAGTTACTGACGTTGGTGGGCAGTGTGGTGAGTTGAGTGCTGGTGTTGGTGAGCAGTGCGGTGAGTTTAGTATACGGACAAACATTGTCAGTCACTTCCATTTAATTTCATTCAGCCAGGAGGGTGCGTATACACAGAGACTGCTTCTCAATCGCTAAAACGGACCGTTATAAAAGCACGCGCTTTCATATTTCGCTCACATTTAACAACAGCAACAACAAACAACCCCAAGATACTCGCGTGTTCTAAATACGAGAGCCATTTCCAGCCGTTGATAATGAGAAGTACAACCACGCCTAATCCACTACCCCGACACGCGTGCTCGCAAATTACCCATCGCCGCGTCGTCCCCCGGCGGGAGCTGGGCTACGAAATACACCGCGGTAAAACAAAATCACGGGAAATCTTTTCTTGAAACAAAGCCAGCCTTGACGCTCCCCCACCACCACCATCCACAATTTAAATTCGGCTGCGCGGCGTGACAGCTTTTACAACTGCGCGCGGAACAGCGCTCGCACTAATAACACTGCTCTACAGCCAAAATGCTTCCGAAATAAATGTCCAACTCTACTAATTGTGGGTCACTGATAATGAAAACGATGCTTAGAATTGTTGATTGGCTCTAGTTTTCAAGATATGCTACTCTGTCAGTATATATGACCCTTGACTTGGGAATGGCGGAGGATAAGTGAGTTATAAAGGGAAGGGATCTCAATTTAAACCAGAAATTACTAAAATACATCTTTCACTGGATCTATGAATACATCGATGGCTCGGTTTGGACAGTACTTGCCTTTTGAGCAAAACAATGAATTATGCAATCTGAACCTGGTATTGCGTCATACATTATATGAATTATTATAATAATTCAAATGTATAAGGCGCACTCCATCCTAGAATCCCAATGCGCCAATGCGTGAAACAGAAGCAGAGGGCAACCGACCAAACTAAAGAGAGGGCCGGCCCATTTTAAAGTGATGGGGTTTCAAAGCAGACTTTAACATATCTACCGACTCTGATTGCCTGGTTTCAAGTGGCAAGGCGTTCAATCGTGGTCGCTGCAATAAAAAAAAACAACGCAAAAGGCTAGAAACAAAAAAATCGGCGCAATGTGTTAGTCGGGTGCAAGCAGTCCGCAACTATCACCGCGGGGTCGTGCCGTCGTGCGCCGCCTGGAGACTTGGTCGCGGATTGCTGGCTCGCTCCCCACCCCCCTCTTCACCCGGTGCCCGTGTTCGGTAGCAGTGCGACCCACGCAGAGCCCTGCACACGGCCATCCCAATGCGTCTCCCAGCAGGAGGTCGCCACCACCACCACCCCCCCCCCCCCCCCCGGCTACTGCTGGGTCTCTAATGAGCGTGATTTCAATGCGCCTCCAGAACGCGGCACAAACCGAGAGCGGCGGTAATTAAGGGACGCACCGGCTTGCACCGGCGCCATCGGGGGGGGGGGGGAAGCTGTGCACCTCCTGCGTGTAGTGCAGCCACGTCGACGGCTATTCGAACGCAACTCACGGAGAGACAGGGAGGGGCCGAGCGGGCGCGGGGGGGGGGGCTGATTGTATGACTTGCAGCGTGGAAGCGCGGTCATTTTGTGGAATTCGCCATCTGCCACCCATTAATACGGCACCGCCGAGGCGAGAAGCGGCACAACTGTTTGTCTTTTTAACTTAGAGCAGCCCGATCGGCACGCGGCCACCGCACGGCCAGGCCCCGCTCGCGGCCGTCACCAATCACCGTCGAGAGGGCCCCAATGCGAGCGCCGAGATGCGGTGGCCCCTGCCCGGCCCGGCTGCGCCGCGCGCGGTGGTTAAGAGACGCGCCGAGGATGATTTGGCATGCAGGGCACGTGATTAATTATTCGCGGCAGGGAGAGAGCTGGGACTTCCGCGAGGATAAGGAGAACAATTAGGCGAGCGGCAAGCGCCGCGCTTGCTAATAGCGCGCCCTGCACGGACGCCTCTTTGCTAACGCTGCACGGCAGCGCCGTACAGCGCTCAGATGTGCTTCACGGGTTGTACCCACTGAGTGTTGCTCGGCATTGGGTACAACGTTTCGCTCCACGTGCTGGGTGAGAGCGTTTCTCCTTGCAGTTCGATCAGATAGCTTTGGGCCAAGCGGTATTTGTTGAGCACCGCTCGTGCCCTGCGTGATGTGATAGTGGGTTGGTGTGGCCGGACATTGTCAGCCTGCGTTTGCCTCCCCAGCAGAGCTGTTGGCACACCTTCACTATGCGTTGCAACTGAACTATTTTTGGCCGAGTCAACCTAGAGAAGGCCCACGACCACTGCTGAACACGAAATAAATCTTTATTCTAGAGCGATGGTTCCCAACCTTTCTGGACTCACGGTCCATTGCCAACCCTAACAAAAAATAACCAATTTTCTTGCACAGCGCGTACCACACAGGATCCATGCATACACAAA